CGGGGGGCTGAGCCCCCCACGGGCTCCCCTCCCAGCGGCAGGAGCTCTCCCGGGCAGCGGGAGGGGGCACAGCCCCCCGGGCAGCGGGGCTGGGGGTCGTGCCAGCCCCGGGGGGCCCCGGCTGGGGACCCCTGCGTGGGGTGGGGACACGCAGATCCTCCCTCGGGCTGCCGGAGCGGGGATGGAGCCGGGGGGGTGGCGATGGAGAGATGCTGTGGGGTCCCAGCCCCTCGTAACTGGGGGGTCCAGCCCTACTGGGCGGCTTCTCCTGGGGAGTCCTGTTTGCCCTGCGATCCCAAAGAATGGGGGGTTTGGGGGTGCTGGGGTCCCTCCCTACTTTGGATAAGACAGTGGGTGCTCCAGGCACTGAAGCCCCCCATGTACCCATGAAGCCACCCGAGCCCATCCTCTCCCCACACCAGGGTCACAACACAGCCTGGGGTGGGGGCAGCGGGTCAAGGTCCCCCCAGAGCCCCCGGCGTGGGGACCCGGGCTGTGTGGCCAGATGCTGGGCACCCACCCTGACCTCCTCCCGGCCCCTCTGCGTTCCTCAGGGGTGATCCCGGCGGGATGCGGTGCACTGGGCCCCCCAGGGGTGTGGGCACCCTGAAGCGAGGAGGGGGCCCCGAGCAGAGACCCGCAGCCCCCGGTCCTCCCCGGGGCTCCATGCCAGCCAGAGGCATCAAATATTAACGGAGGCAGTGGAGGAGCTGAAAATAACCCTCCCTCCAAGGGAGCTGACCCAGATCCGGCCAGCCCCAAAGCTGGGCTGGACCCAGAGCCCCAGCCAGCGCACTGCTGGGGCCAAATCCTGCCCCTTCCCCTCCTCCAGGCTGCTCTGCCCTCCTGATGCCAGCTATATATCGCCTATATATTATGCAAATGAGCTATAAGGGCTTATTACGCAAATGCGAGGGGGCTGGCGCTGCCCGACGCTGGGTGGTCCCCGGGGCTGGCCCCAAAGGCTCACAGAGGAGAGCGGGGATGGAGGGGGCCGCATCGGCGTCCGCGTCTGCCCGAGTGTGCAGGGGCTGCCAGGGAGCGCTGCCCCATCCCTCTCCCCTCCTGTAGCACAGAGGGACCCCCCGAGCCGGGCCAGGCGCTTTCCCCGCTGCAGCGCTCGTCCCCCGGTACGGCCAGCACGTCCCAGCGGCATGGGGAAGCAGAACAGCAAACTGCGCCCCGAGATGCTCCAGGACCTGCGGGAAAACACCGAGTTCTCCGACCTGGAGCTGCAGGGCTGGTACAAGGGTTTCCTGAAGGACTGTCCCTCAGGCATCCTCAACGTGGAGGAGTTCAAGAAGATCTACGCCAACTTCTTCCCCTATGGCGACGCCTCCAAGTTCGCCGAGCACGTCTTCCGCACCTTCGACACCAACGGCGACGGCACCATCGACTTCCGAGAGTTCATCATCGCCCTGAGCGTCACCTCCCGTGGGAAGCTGGAGCAGAAGCTCATGTGGGCCTTCAGCATGTACGACCTGGACGGCAACGGCTACATCAGCCGGGAGGAGATGCTGGAGATTGTGCAGGTACCGGGCTCCCTTGCCCCGCTGCGGCTCCTAGTGTGTGGTCCTGCGTTGTCACCCTGGTGTGACGGTGGCCGTCCTCTCCTGGGATGAGGGCGGGCTGGGATCATGCACCCTGCGGTACCCCCGGCACAGAGCTTAGGACGGAGCCTGTTGCTGTCTGCAGAGAGCCGCTCGCTGAGCTCCGTGGTTGCAGGGATCCATCTGTCCTGGGGCATCCCCTGGTCCTTCCCTGTCCTGGGGACAACCGTTTGTCACCATGGCCCAGGGCTCTTCCCGCTGGCCCCACTCCCTGTGCTCCTGGGGAGGGCTGGGTGCACGGCAGCCATCCCGGCGCACCCTAGGGCAGAGGGACGTGTTGTCGGCAAACTGGCAGGAGATGCTCTCCTTGCCCAAACCGCAACCCGGTGGCATCGGCATGAGAAGGTGACTCGCAAGGCCACTGCAGTGACATCTCAGTGGGCATCTCCTCCTGACGGAGCAGCTCCAAGGTTGTTTCCTTGGGGCTGCCGCTTGCACCCAACCCAGCCATGCTGGGAGCCAAAGCTCCCCATAGCCTGATTGCACGGGGAGGGTGTTAAACGCCAGCGAAGCCCAGAGCTCTCCCCCCTGTCTCGGCTGGGTGATGGCAGGCACCCAGCTTGCACCCAACCTCACCCCTGTCTCCCACTCCCAGGCCATCTACAAAATGGTCTCCTCCGTGATGAACATGCCCGAAGACGAATCGACTCCGGAGAAAAGAACGGAAAAAATCTTCCGACAGATGGATACTAATAACGACGGTAAATGAGAGGAGATGGAGGGGATTAAGGGAAAGGTCTCATGGCTAAATCCGGGGGTCTTAGAAAGAGTCGCACGCGCGCTGATTAAATGGCTTGCGCCCGCCGGGGTGGCCGGGGGGAGCCCTGGCAGCCAGAGGGGCTCGCCGTGCTCCTGCAGCCTGGGGAGCGGAGCCCAGGGTGCTCATCGCGGGCGGGTGGGTGGCCGCGGTGCTGGGAGGTCTCCGGTCCCGCATGTGTACCCGGGATGGTGCAGTTGTCGCCAGGCTGAGCCGTGTCCCCCCCGCAGGCAAGCTCTCGCTGGAGGAGTTCATCAAAGGTGCCAAGAGCGACCCGTCCATCGTGCGCCTGCTGCAGTGCGACCCCAGCGGCGCCGCGCAGCTCTGAGCCCCACGGACCCTCACAGCCCCCCACGGCCCCCCACAGCCCCACGCCACCCCCTGACCCTGCAGCTGGTCACTGCCACTGTCCCTGCCCGGGCCCCATGGTCCCCACCGCCATGCCCCCACGGGGAGAGAGCTGGAGCCCGGCTGAGGCTGGGGCAAGGGCGAGCCCGGGGGGACGGTCCCCATCGCCAGGGGGGCTCCTGCCCTGGCCTGACAGAGGGAAGGAGGATGGAGGCAGGGTCTGCACCGAGCGAGGACGGTCCCCCCCAGCACCGGGGGCTCGGAGCAGGGGGACAACCCAGCCCAGTGGGAAAAGCTGGCGGCGAAGCCACCGCTACATCTCCGGCAGGCACGGGGACACGGTCCAGGGGACAAAGACCTGATGGCTCCGGGGGCCCCCCAGCACCCTCCACGCATGCACACACTGCCACGGCCGCGGGGCCGGGCCAGCCCCTTCCCCACGGCCAGCGCACGGGTGGGGGCCGCAGGGAGGGGACGCGCTTCTGGTCTTTTAATACCTGCAGAATAAAGTTTGTGTCAGTGCAGTCAGTGGTGGGAAAGGGGCCATCGATGCTGAGGGGAAAGTTCCCCACGGGGTCTGGATCCAGCCCAGTCACCTTGCTGCAGCCCCAGGCGACCCGAGGCCATGGGGATGGGCTCCTGTGTCTTGGCTGGTGGCATCCAGGGGACGCATCTGCCCGATAGCCAGGCTGGGGGGCAGCCGGGTCCCATTGCAGGGCTGTGCGGGCACTGGGACAGGGCAGGGCTGGCTGGGGCACATCCACAGGGTTGGCCCTCGGCGTCACTCAGAGCCAGGCGGTTTCCACACTGTCCAGCCTCAGCAAGCCCAGACGCTGCCTGGGGCCGGGGCTCCCCGCGGGGGCTGCGGGCAAGGAGACCTGCAAGCCAGAGAGGGTGATGAGAACAAGACTGAGGGGATGAGAGCTTTGGGTCGGCAAGCCCTACACCCATCCCAGAGCCCCTGAGCCCAGCCGGGTCCATCCCAGTCCTGAGTGGGCCAGTGCTGAGCCCGAGGATCAGGAGTCACCTTCCTCCGGTGCACCCTGCGGCAGCAGCGGCCGAGGCGGAGGAGGTCAACGGCAAGCAGGAGGCAGTGGATGCTGAAGACGATCTCCATCGTGTCGAGCAGGAGGGAGATGGCCCAGAGGGACAGCGTGGAGCTCTGCAGGGACACAGGGTGTCAGGTCCCCACCTGCATCCCCCCATGCCCAGCGCAGGCAGCCCCAGCCCACAGCCCACTGGGGACTCACATAGACACGGGTGGGATCGAAGGAGCACTCGCGGGAGACCGGGGCGAGGGTGACGCTGGCAGAGGTGCAGGGGGCCAGCGGCACCCAGCCCTGGCTGCCCAGCGTCAGCCCGATGGAGACGGCCAGCCCCAGCAGGCAGGACAGGCAGACCAGGCTGCTGCTGGCGCTCAGAGCAAAAACCATCCATTTCTGCAGGAGGGGAGAGAAGCAGCAGCACGGCAAGCCAGGGCCACGCATGTCCGCCTGTCCAGGCTCCCTCCGTGGGGATGGTCCCCAAGCGAGCGGCCGTGGAGGCCGTGCACGCTCCATGGGATGGGCGCAGCCTGCCGAGTGCTGGGCGAGGGGCTGTGGGGCCGGGGGTGCTTACGAGGGCGGCAGGGGCGAGGTAGCGGGACAGCATGAGGGCAGCAATTCCACAGGAGATGGTCTGCAAGGAGGCGCGGGGAGGTCAGCGACACGTGGCGCCCGCCCGCCCCAGGGACATCGGTCGCCTTGCCCTGTCAACATCGTCCCTGAAAGCTCATCTGGCCAATTCAGCATGGTGAGGGGGCAGAGCTTCATTTCCCCCAGCCTCCACCCAGCCAAAAGTCCCTGTGCATTTAAACCCCCCCGTTTTGTGCTAGAAAGGCCTATTTAGAGCAGGGAAGGGGAGATGGAGCAGCATCCATCCCGCATCCTCTTGCGTCCCACCTCCTACCCACCCCGCATCCATACCACATCCACCCCGCATCCTCCTGCGCCCACTCCATGTCCCCCCTTACCCTCCTGCACCCCACAGTACCAGCAGTGCGGAGATGATGGAGGCGGCGTTGGTGACGGCGTACTGCAGGGAGATGGCGTCCCGGGGGTTGACCATGAAGCGGAGGACAGTCCATGGACAAGGGCACCGGTGATGAAGCTGAGGTGCCCGATGATGAGGAAGATGAGGCCCATTTTCATGAGGACCCTTTGGTGGCTGCCAGGATCAAGGTGGCCTGAGATGGAGGGGAGAGGAGGGCTGGGCAAGGAGGCCGCACGGTGTGGGGTGGGCAGCACTGAGCCATCCCCCTGCCCTTGCACCACGCTCAGCACAGGCAGGGGACGTCTGGGGACAGCCCCAGAGGACGTGCCCCACGCTGGCGCGGGGACGAGGCAGGAGGCGACGTGGTGGCAGCTGCCGGCAGCCCAGGTATGCAAACCACCGCTCCAGCTGGCTCTGCTGGGACCGGGGCGGCGGCACAGGGCCAGCAGCCGTGGGGACAGGCGTCCCTGATGGGGCTGGGCAGGGCCGGGGCTCCCCACAGCGATGAGGAAGCTCTGGGGAGAGCAGCTGCCCATAACGACAGCTCCAGCACTGGGTTTTGGCACCCGGTGCTTTGAGGAGCGACCGCAGCACCCACTGTGATCCCCCGGCAGCACCCACCCCGGGGGCCACCCTCCTCGCACATGCGCCATCACCCGGGTGCTCAGCCCAGCTCCGTCCCTGACCCCGTCCGAGCCCCTCGCCTCCCCTCCCTCCCTGCCTCAGTTTCCCCTGCAGGAGGGCAGAGCTGGGGCACCCTCCTGTCACGATCACCACGCTGGACCCGGACTCACCCACGTGACGCATCTTCACTGGGCCAGGATCAGGCCATCAGAGCCCCTCGATGCCCCCAGGGCCTGCCCTGCCCTCAGCCTGGCACCGGATCCATCAGGGTCCCCGTGTGGCCAGGCAGGACCAGGCCACCGGACCTGCTCGCCTGCTGCACCCCACTGCTACTCCAATTCCTGTCGGACCAGCTCCCCACGACAAACAACGGGATAACTCCACCTTTGCCTACCTTCGCCAAAGGGAAGCACAGCCCTGTCCCCACCCCCGCGCTCCCCTTGCTGCCAAGCCAGCGGCCGTGCCGTGGCACGCTGTGCCATGCCGCACCGTGCCATGCCGCGCCGATACACCACGCCACGCTGCTTCATCCCCTTCCCCATCCCCACCTCTCCGGCACACTGGGGTCGGTCCACCCTAAAGCAACGGCAGCAGGCTGGGATCCAGCCAGACAGGTCCGAGGGCACGGGCTGAGGGTCTGGGAAGGGGCAGCCCCTCGGCGTGGGATGCTGCCAGACCACGGGGCAGAGACCAGCACCGTCAGCTCCCAGGCATCGACCTGCAGAGAGAGGGAAAAGCAGAGGGGTCAGGGCTGGTGCCAACTTCCCAGGTGGCTCAGAGGAGCCGGTTTAGCGGCAATCACCCTAATGAAGCTTCCAGGGAAGTTGCTGATAGCAAGAGACCGAGGGAGAGGGGCTGGGGGCAAGGGCTTGCCAAGTTGGCTGCGGGAAGAGCAGCCCAGCTCTGCTCACACCGGGGGTGCTTTGGGAAGCCCTCCCTCGCTCCTGGGAGCTCCTTGCTAAGCGATGCTCTCTGCAAAGCTCGTTGCGGACATGAGGCATTAACAATTTAATTACAGGGACAGCAATGCGGCTGGAAGGGCTTGGTCCAGGCAGAGGCTCAAAGACACTCGTCCCTAATATCGCGCCTGAGCCACCAGCCCAGCCCTCAGCCTCCTCAGAGCCCTTACACCCAGCAGCGCAGGGAACTTGGCTCAGCACAGCGTCAGTCCCCATCCTTCGCCTCTTTTAACCTGCACACAGCCCTGCTGCACAGGGAGCGGGGAGAAGAGAGACCTCTCCCTGCTGCAGCCTCAGGACAAGCAGGTCCGGCCACTGTCCCCATCGCCGCTGCAGGCAGAACAAGGCTGTCACACCACACTTTCTACAGGCAGAAGAGGAGATGCCCCTGTTTTCCCTGTGCCTTGGGCTAGGGCAGTGTTTCCAAACGCTTGACCAAAGTGCAAAGGCAGCCAGAGGATTTCACTGTACATCTTTGGAAAGGATGAACTGGATGCAAGTCGAATGACAACCAGAGTCTTTATTCAAAGAGTCCCTTAGGATGTTTGCAGACATACAGACACACGTACATATTTACACTCTTACACACCTCACAGAGCTTGAACCAATAAATTAAAACAAAAAGAGGGCGGGGGACTTTTTTTTTTTTCTCCTTTTTCTTTTTTGTCATGTAAGAAACAGCAACTCCCCGAGGTGAGGCTGGGGAGCCAGCTGGAGAATCGCAAACAGAAGCCAACACGGACACAACCCTGCCCCAAAAGATGCAATGACAGCGAGTGTGCTTTTCAGCAGGAGGCCACTTCATACTCTGGCTTCGATGCACTCCAGTTTGACCATTTCATCCAGCCTGCAGCCCTCGGCTTGGGCACAGTGGCTCAGGTGGGCACTTGGGCTCTCGGCACCTCTAGCTTTGGGGGTCTGTGGGCAGGCTGCTGCAGTCTGAGAGTGGGGGGAGTCGCACTCATCCGAGGTAATGTCTGGCACGTCGTCCGACTGGCTATCGGAGCTCTCCAGGTCGCTCCGTATGCTCTCAGGCTGGGCCAGGGTGATGTCCCAGGTTTTGCTGGCAATGCAGTCCTTTTGCTCACAGCTTTGGTGTTTGCACGTCTGCTCCTGCTCACCATCCTCCTCTTCCTCCTCCTCCTCCTCCTCTTCCTCATTCTCTGCCATTTGGGTGTGGACATGCAGAGAGTCCTCTGTACTGCTGCCGCTGGCCAGCTGGTAGTGACTTGGTTTGGCTTCGATGTCCACCTGGATCTCCATGTTATTGCACTCCCTGCAGAAACAAGCACCCTTGCGTTACTGTGTACAGTTACTGGGTTTGACTGGGTCACCACTGGGCACTGCGTGACTGTACCGGGAGGATCACGTTTCCCAAACATGAGCAAGATGCTGCTCATCACCCCCCGGCATCTGGGAAACAATAGCACTCGCTGCTCTCCTCAAGTCCTTATGGGCAGCCGAGATCATCCCCAGGCTGAGCCAGGAACTGAACTGGGAACGCACCGGAGTCCCCATGAGCAGCCAGGAACAGCCCTCGAGAGTCCTGAGCCGCAGATCCCCTCCTCAGCCTCCAAATTACACATGAAAGCTGCTCCCAAATTGTCCCCCGTTGTCCTTCTGTGCAAGTAAAAGGATCAATCCACTCGCCAGCTACAGACGAGCGGGCTGGTGCAACTACAGTCATCTCGCCACCCACAGCAGCACCTCGCGGGGCACAGACTTTTCCAGGACACCTGCTACCAACGCTCTTCTCACCATCGCATGTCCTCTTACCTGTCCTGGGGGTTGTAGGAGCTGATGATGGAACCAGCCATGGCTCGAGTGCTGGCGTTGTCACTGATAGCCCCCAAGCTGACCGAGTCTTTGGGGAAAATCTCCTTCTGGACATCCGCCTGAACTTCCAGCCTGCAGCAAAGAAGAGGATTCCTCAGAAATGCCTTAGATGGTCCCTGAGGGGGACCGAACAGTTGCTGTTTGTCATGGGAAAGCAAGCGGCCCTCTGTGCTGGCCCAGCTCGGCATGGCAGAGATTAACCCTAATGGTTCCTCTCATCTAGTTTCATTTTTGGCTCCTTTTAGGTAAACCCATTCTGTTTTCCATGACGAAGGTAAAGTTGTGTTTATATCTATGACTCATGCAATTCTTGCAAAGAACAGATTTCCACAGATCTAGCACACAGCCATGATTATATCCTGGCTGCCGTATCAACACGTGTGTCTAATTACCCAGCAAGCTGACTCACAGGCAAGTCTAGAGGAAAACTGTGGTGTAGCCTCCTGACTTGGAAAGCAGTGACCCTGCTTGCTACAGGCCACTGGAGAAGAGGAAGCATCAAAGTCTCTAGGCTGAGATCAGAGGACTGGAAGATCTTTAAGCAGGCCATGTAGGCATCTCTGCGCTGTTCCCAATTAACCTGAAGCACCAGCTCTGCAGTTTCAAGAGCTCAGTAGGGACAGAAACTTGTTTATCTTTTGTCCTCCTTGCAAGAACCAGCCTAGCACTGACTCCAGAAGTAGCCTGGTCTGCTGGGACTGGTTATTCTACAGTTAGGACATGACTAATACTAACATGAATAAATGTTAATTTAAATACTGATTTCAACTAAAATACTAACATGACTCTCAAGTCAAAGAAGGACCGCTCAGAGTCCTGGAGAGCTCCCCAAAATAAGCCTGCTCAACCAACACAGGCCCCGAGAGCCTCCCCGCTGCTGTGCCCATCAGTTCTGTTACCTGCTGTACTTCCCCTTGCCTCCCAAGAGGACACCACCACTCAGGGTACCGCCCGAGAGGGCGGCGAAGCTGGCCGTCTCGCTGTAGTTGCCCTGCATCACGCTGAGCCCATCGGTGGGGCTGCCGCTGGTGCTCAGCACACTGGTCAGCCCCTCAATGCTGCTTTCGCCGATGCTGGGGTTCTTCAGGGCTCGCCAGGCATCAGCCACTGCGGGGAAGAAGAGCACAGGAATCAGAATCAGCAAGGGAACCGTTCGGCTGTGATGGTGCAGGCAGAGCTGGGGGTCAGACAGCAAGCAGCATGTCTCTCGTCTCAGGCTGCCTCCCTGCCTCATCCAGGGCAAGGAAGAGCTGAGATTTTGCTTTGAAAGCTACACAGCTGATCACCAGCAGACTGAAGCAAATAACTGCTTCTAGCTAAACCCAGGTAAGGACAGATGTTCCGACTTGGGAAATGTTAAGACTCCCTACCATTTCATTACAAGAGGCAATGACAGGGTCTTGCTTCACCCCCTTCCCTTCACCAGTTATCACATTACCTGTGATTGGCCCATCATCTTCATCAAACTCGATTTTCACACCCTTTCCATTGGCGGTGCTAACTCCACAGCCACCGCCTCGGCACAGCGAGATCGGCACAACACCATAGACGTAGGCCAGCATGATGGGGACTCCAATACCTGGAGACCAGGATGCACTGAGTTAAGAGGGGCTTAAGGCTGAGCTGTGTTGGGCAGACAGAAAGGACTCTTTGGGGTAGGGACTCTCTCAGTTGTGTTTACACTGCTTTTAAAGGTCTTAGTTCACAACTTTGCAGATAAGACAGCGGAGGAGCCCTTCGTTTGTGCTGCTGCAGTGCAGAATGAGGGAGCCCCAAGAGCGCAGACAGCCTCGGCTGAACCCCCAAGACATCAGGCACCAAACCAGTCCACGGGTAAGAGACAGCTCCGTGTGTCAAGGGACTCCACTACGGCCTGTGGCACGGGCAACTGGTGCTCCAGACAAGCCCTGCGCTGCCTCCAGGCCAACACAGGCACATGAGGACGTGCAGCCTGGATGCGAAACGGAGGGATGTGCCCAGAAGAGCACAGAGCAGCAGTCTGCAAACTGCCCTTTGGCCACCCCCGTCTCACAGGGCTGGGCTACCCACTTGTCTCGGTGACTATTGGCCCACCAGACGGGAAAGGGACTGTGCCCACTTACCAACACTGACAGCAGCGATGACTGGAGAGGCAATGACAGACAAGGTGACCCCACCAGTAATGGCCAAGTTCCTCTTGTGCTTAGAGGTTTTCTTTCCCTCATACCTGCTGTGGATCTGATGGAAG